TTGCTGCAACTTGAGCCCATTGCTCCTTCTCTGTCATCTGCCCCTACTGAGAAGAGTCCAGCTCCATCCTCTTTGCACCCCCCTGCAGGTCATTGGCAGCTGCCATAATGCAGGGGAAACCATTGCTTCTTCGTTCTGCCTTCCCAGAAACAAGGCATGTGTCTTATTTGGGGGCGTCGTAGTCCAGACAATATGGTACCACAGTGTAATGCAGTGCAATTGCGTGGGCAGAGTTAAGGTTAGCCAGGCAAGCTTGACTCCAGCATTTCCTGGCCTCTGGGCGCTGGCTGCTACAGGTATAAGGCTCCTTTCAGGGTGTTTTTTGCACTGAACTCCTCCGGTGGGGATGCTGAGGAGGAAGGGGATGCCCTGTCGTGCACACCCCACTCCCCGTGGCTTCACACTCATGGGGACACCAGCACATCAGCTTCACAACATGTTTAATATGACCCACGAGAGGCACCGCTGGGCAGGGGCCTGCCCCGTCCCCCGCTTTCAGCCACTCCACCCACAGTTTGCAGTTCCCCCAGCACCAGGGAGGGTCGGGGGGGGAGGCCAGACACACTGGAAACCCAGGGCTGAGCCCCCCGTGCCCAGCTCAGGCCAGCATCCCCTCCACAGTCTCTTCAGAGAGGTGCTGCTACTGCAGCTCCCCCCCAGCTGGGTGTGAGCTGATGGCCTCGGTGCCCCACCTGCGATGCTTGCCCAAAGAGAGCAAGAAATGGAGAGAAGTGGGCACCAAGCACCAAAGAGGCCACTGTGTCCATGAGAGGCCTCGGCCTCGGCCTCGGCCTCGGCCTCGGCCTCATCCTTTGGTGGCTTCTCCTCTGAAGTAGTGACCAACAGCTCGGCCCCGAAAATGCTTCCACTGACCCCCAGCACACTGGCAAGGCCCATGGGCAGGGCTCCCCCAGGCTGTCCGTAGCATCCCCAGGGCCTCTCCATTGAAACTGAGGGGGGAATTTAGGATCGAGGCAGCAGAGACCTCCTGCAGACCCAGAGGTGCCCAGAGGTGCCGTGCCAGCCCATGCCCATCCAGTGTTGGTCTAGGGGACAGGAGGAAGCAAGCAGCAGCTGGCGCTGGGGGACCCTGGGTCTGGGGTCTGGGAGGCGCTGACGGCTCTGGGGTCTGTTCCCCGGTGTTTTTCCTCCAAAGGGCTCTGCTCATCGCGGCGGCTGGCGGCACCTTGGGAAGGGGTGGGAAGAAGGTGATGGAGCCGGTGGGCACATCCTGAGAGACCCCCAGTGCCGGCGTGGACCCTGTGCTGGGCTCTGCGAGTGCCCGAGCTCTCTGCCGGCTCCCTCACTGGAAATGAACCTGGGGACAAGGAGGGAGACGGACCAGCCTGAGTGCCAGGACAGAGACCGCTGCCCGGCCCCCTGCCCCGTCTGTGCGGGCTCACCCAGGGTCCAGAGCAAGGAGACACAGCCGTGGCCACGGACGCGGGCCCAGGACATTCATTGCCAGGGGGCTGGGAGCCCTGGACCCTGAGCTGGCCTTGCCCTGGGAGCACAGGGCAGCTTTCGTCCCCCCTTGCCCAGGGCAGCCAGGCCCTGTGGGTCCCTTCTCTCACACCCGTGAGCCCCAACAGCAACCGTCCAAGGGTTTCTCACTGCCGCTGGGGCCAGTGACCCCATGCACAGCCCTGCTGGGCAGCACTGGGAGCCGCGTCTCTGGGCATAACAGGCCCGCTGAGCTGCCCCACGTTCCCGGGACGGCAGCACCGCGCTGGGGCAGCCCCGGGGACGTGGCTGGGCTGAGGAGAGCGAGCCGTCCCTCTCACCTGGAGTGTCAGGCGTCCAGCTCACGCGTCCCGAAGGAGCTGGAAAGAGAAAGCCAGCGGGGGCGGGTTAGTCGTCCTCCCCCCAGGGTGCACTGCACCGCAGGAGGGTGCCAGGGGAGGAAGGGGTTAACTCCGGCGGAGGGGCTGTAGCAGCTTGGGGTTGCGGGACAAGCCGGAGGGGAAACTCCCTCCCGGGGGTGGCAGACAGAGATCCCAGGCTCCCCCATCTGGACTCCACACCTGCCCCCCTCCCCACTGCCTGAACTGGGCACCCACAGCCCTGCCCACCCCCAAGCGGGAAGCCCGATGCCCCCGTGGGCAGAGCTGCCCCAGCGATGCTACAGGTATAAACCCGAAGGGGACTGGAGAGCAGAGCCAGGGCCTTTGGCCCATGCAAATTCTCCCTCTCTCCCGGGCTGGGCGGGCAGAGCTGCCAGTCCTCGGTGCTCCCCATTTCTCGGTGCCCTCGGCCTTGCCTCCAGGGAGAGAGGTGCCCCCCGGGTTTATAACAGCAAAAAAGACCCTGGCATCTGGATCCCACCATGACCGGCCGGGATCTGGGCCTCCAGGGTCCTTGTTGCTCATGGCGCACGGGCATCGGGGATGTCTCCCTGGCCCTGCTGCTGAGGCAAGAGGCAGGGACAGGAGAGAGGCCAATTCGGACCCGAGAATCATCCCGGCATCCTCCGGGGCTGCATCACGCCTGCAAAGGCCTCCATGCCTAGGGCGACTGTCCCTCCACCCCATGTCCGGCAGCCACGGGCACCGAACTGGGAAGCCCGCCTAACCCTGCCCTGGGGTAAGGGGCTTTGTTCGTGGCAGCCTCACTGATCCTGGCCCCCGGAGAGGGATCTGCCAAGGCACCGGGCTCCCAAGGCATCACCCCCGTGCCTGGGCAGATGTGATGCAGCTGCGGGTGGGATGCCGTACCCCGCGCTGGGGCTTCCCCCCCACCAGGTGATTGGCCGCCACTCACGGTTAGGGTATCAGTAGCGAAAGCAGCCACACTGTTCCTCATCTCGTTCTCATTGCCCCGCAGCGGGATGAGTGAGATGTTACCCAACCTGGAGTCCAGCGGCACCCGCGACGCTCGTGCCCTGGAGGGCTCTGACGGCCACACGCTCCCGCCGTTCTGCGGAGATGGGGAGGGCTTGCGATGAGGGTGGGGAAAGGGGCCTATACAGCCATGGGGCCACACTAAGAGCCCCCCTAAGACCGTCTGGAGAGTCCTGACAACTCGTGTCATGCAAGGCTTTGAACGCCTGCAGCCAGCTCAGAGCAGGGGGTCGAGGTCTCCTAAGACAGGCAACCGGGCCCCGGGGGCGCCGGACGAGCCGTGAGAGCCGGACGACAAGTGCCGCCTGGATCAGTCCAGAGCAGGGACCCTCAAGCTGAGCTTGTCGATCCATCTAGGGCTGGGGTCCGACCCCCCTGTTTTGCAGGGGTCTGTGTGTCTGACTCCAAGCAAGGAGGCAGGTCCCCTCTCTGCCCCCCGCCATCCCTTCCCCTACCCTGGAAGGGCCTGGCCCCACAATACCTTCACGAAGAAGAAGCTGGCAAACCACTCCCGCATCTCCATCTGGGTGTCGCAGCACAGGTACCTGCAGAGGGGACACAGGGGTGGTCAGGGCTGGGGTCCCATGCCCCTTCCCCAGCCACAGCAGCCCCCATGTCACCCCTGCACCCATCAGCTGCAGCAGCTGGACACCAGGCACAGCCGCCCGCCTC